AAAGTCAAGTTCATAAGCCTGGACCATGATGAATTCACCAAGGTAAATGTCATTTCTGATGCCACTTGGCAGCTGGCCAGCCAGTCTGCCCTGATGACACCTCTGTCTCTTCAAGCACATTTCTTTCAGACTCCTATGTTTCTAGCCACATTCATCTCGACCAGCTGTCTCTTTATCCCTTGTTCTGTCTTTTCCTCTATGACTCTCTCTTTTTAATTATGTATTTCTTTCTTCCCACGTCACCACTTATCCTTCCTTTATCCCTTGTTTTCTTTTTTCTCTTTCTTTCTTTTTCTTTCCTTCTTTCTCTTTCTTTCTTTCTTTCTTCTTCTTCTCCTTCTCCTTCTCCTTCTCCTTCTTCTTCTTCTTTAAATATGGGGTTTCACCATGTTGGTCAGGCTTGTCTTGAACTCCCAACCTCAGGTGATCTGCCCACCTTGGCCTCCAAAGTGCTTGGATTACAGGCATGAGCCACCATGCCTGGCCCTCTTTCTTTCTTCTTTCTTCTCCCCCTCCCCTCCCCTCCCCTTCCCTCCCTTCCCCTCCCTTCCCCTTCCCTTCCCTTCCTTTCCTTTCCTTTTCTTCTTCTTTTTTCTTTTTTTTTTTGACGGAGTTTCTCACTTTTATGCTCAGGCTGGAATGCAATGGTGCAATCTTGGCTCACTGAAACCTCCCCCTCCCAGGTTCAGGCACTTCTCCTGCCTCAGCCTCCTGAGTAGCTGGGATTACAGGCATACAGCACCATCTCCAGCTAATTTTGTATTTTTAGTAGAGACAGGGTTTCACCATGTTGACCAGACTGGTCTCGAACTCCCGACCTCAGGTGATCCACCTGCCTTAGCCTCCAATGTGCTGGGATTACAGGCATGAGCCATCATGCCCGGCCTTCTTTACCTTTTTCTTTTTTTAATTTTGGTTACCTTAATTGACCATGGAGTTGAATAATAATATATACCAGAAATTTTTGCTAAGCACAATTCTGGGCCATATGTAAAAATTATATTCTGACCTCACAATAACTCTGAAAACTGTTTTTATTCCTATTTTACAGAGAAAGAAGTGGAGGCTTATAAAGTGTAAGTAGTTGTGTTTCATAATCTTAAAAGTTTTCTCTGCTTACTTTTCAAAATTAGTAAATTAAATGCTTTGGTTCCTTTAAGAAAATGCAGTTTAGGCCAGGTGTAATGGCTCACACTTTGAGAGGCTGAGGCAGGTAGACCACTTGAGGTCAGGAGTTAAGAGACCAGCCTGGCTAACATGGTGAAACCCTGTCTCTATTAAAAATACAAAATTAGCCAGGTGTGGTGGTGTGCACCTGTAGTCCCAGTTACTTGGGAGACTGAGGCAGGAGAATTGCTTGAACCTGGGAGACAGACGTTGCAGTGAACTAAGATCAGGCCACTGCATTCCAGCCTGGGCAATAGAGTGAGATACTGTCTCAAAAAAAAAAAAAAATGATCCTTTGACCCTTTGAACAATAAAGCTCCCACTGCTGTTTGCCCCTCCTCATCCTTCTTCCTGAGAGTAGGGCTTGACCCTGATTCCTCTGACACAGTCTTAACCTTTTTTTTTTTGAATCAGAGTCTTCCTCTGTCACCCAGGCTAGAGTGCAGTGGCACAATCTCAGCTCACCACAACCTCGACCCCCCGGGTTCAAGCGATTCTCCTGCTTCAGCCTCCCGAGTAGCTGGAATTATTTTTTGTATTTTTAGTAGAGATGGGGTTTCACTGTGTTAGCCAGGATGGTCTTGATCTCCTGTCCTGGTGATCCTCCCACCTTGGCCTCCTAAAGTGCTGGGATTACAGGTGTGAGCCACCACACACATCCACAATCTTAAACTTCCTTATGGAGGAGGTAACCTTCTCTGTCCAGTCAGGCTCAATGTACTTTCTGTATCTGTGCAAAAGGAAGAGGTGAAATATTCAGCACCTAGATTTGTAACTTTCAGTAACTTGGAGATGGAGGTTGTGGCAACATTGGATCTGCTCCCTGGAAGATCACTTTTTATTATTTTGGGTGTTTAATGAAGCTGCTTAGCCTTAACAGGGGTCCTCCCCATGATCCTGGAAGATAATGAGGTAGAAGTAGAGAGAAGTATTCCTTCCAGCCTGCTTCTATAGAGGTCTGAGGCAAGCAAAAGAGGAAATAAGATGTTTCTGGGTGGGTCCCAGGCTCCTTCACTCTTCTACAAGGGAGTGAAGGCTGCTTATCTCCTGGAGACATGAATTACAGGATTTGTGTTATAGGCTGGAGGAGTAGATGCAACTGCTGTATTTTCTTAAAGGAAGCATAAAGCATTTAATTTACTAATGTTGAAAATTAAACAGAGAAAACCTTTAAGATTGTGAAACACGACTACTTACCTTTTATGATCCTGCCAATGATCAGAGCATAGAAGCAGAGAAGTCCCAGGTCCAACTGAGTGTTCAGACTCCACTGGGTTCGGTACCATGGACAGAAAGCAACCCAAAGCTGTCCCAAGGGCTGAGGGTTTAATGCCACAGACAGATACCCCTCTCTGTCTCCACCCACAATCTCACCAGTCACCATTGCTATTCCAGGGAGGAACCTAACCCCAGCCATTAGTTAACTGGCTCCCATCACTTAAAGGTTGAGATAAACAGTGGATTGGTTTCCTACTAAGGCCCTCCTGAATTTCTTCACTGAGCTGTCTGTTCTGCAGCTTCCAGGTAGAGCGGGGTTTGCCTTAGAGCAACTCTTATTAAGATCCAGCTGATTTGCATATATCTGCATTCATTGGGGCTTCTCTGTTCTGGTTTTATTATAAATGAATTGCTCAGAGGAAGGGGAAGGATTATTTCACTCCTTCCTCTTCTTTCCCCCTATTCCTGGGGTCTCCATCTGGAAATTTCCCCCAGATGCCTGAAGGTGTGTGTGGTGGAAGAGGGTGGAAACCAGACTCCAACAGTCAGGTGTTTGCCAGAGCATCCTATGTAGATTTCCCCAGATAATTTTCCCCATCTGTTTGTTTCTGAAAGATCCTTGTCAGGTTCAGAGGAAGTCTGTATTTTGTTTTAGCCCCTAGGGTCTGAACCTCTGGGCTGAAGTCCCTGGAGCTTCAGGAAGAAGCCATGATTGGTGCCTTAGAGCCTGCTAAGGGGATGGAACCTGGTTTTAAAGAGGAGTGAGGGGTGGTGTAGTGAGGACTCATTTTGAAATGAAAGGAGTCCTGGGTCTCTAAGCAGCTTCTAAAAATACCATCTCCCAGAGCTGGAGGGAGGGGGAGGGGAAAATCTAGCGTGAGGAGAATGAAGATGGAAAGGAGGTGGCAGTGTGAGAACCCTTCCTCAGGTAGGTCTGGTTTTAGAGGTCCTGCCTGCTTCTAAGGACTGAAGAGATGCCACACCTCCTTCTGCTTCCCCAGCGGGCTTATCTCCTGCGGTGCCCAAGCCACAGCCTTTGCTAATGACCTTTCTTTCGGCAGGTAAAGAAGACCAATTCCTCCCACCTACTCCTCCCATTGCTACTGTCCAGCAAATATGTCTGAGTGAGTACATGTGCATTTACTCACACACACATGCATACACACAGAAATGGCACATGAAAACGGCTTGTAAATGGTCAGTGATCTACGATGCCAGGAATCCTCTTTACACTCGGCATTCAAAGAGGTATGGACTGTGGCAGAGGCAGCGTGGTTCACCAGGGCATCCGCAGCACAGAGCATGGCGCCCAGGAACGGCTGAGTGGAGGGGCAAGGGATAAGTATGTGCAAAACGCACAGACACTCAGACCGCAGGGGCCAAGTAAGTCACAGGACTCACACTCACTCTCAAGGCTTCTCAGGCTATATTCGCTTCCAAACAGAGAGGGGATGGGTCCCCCAAGAAAAGAGCTCGGAAAAAGCCACGAGGTGGGTGGAGCTTTCTCCCCTCAAGTTCAGCCCAGATGGTGGCGCTCAGTAGCCGCCTCCCTAGTCCTGGTGGGCACCAGCCCTTCCCACCACCAAAGTGTTAAACCCTCAGCTTGCACATAAATGACCTTCACTAGACAGAGGTCGTGTTCCATGTGTTCTTGCGGCTTCTTCAACGCCGGCTGAACTCTGCCAGGATTGCTCCGCCTCTCTCGCAGATGTCTCGGATTCCTGGCCGCGGTGCTGTTCACCAGTTCTCTGGGGTGGGCTGAGTGGGGTGACTGAAGAGGGGAACCCCGACTCTGGTCAGACTGAGGACAGGGGTGGCTGTGAGGTGGGCTGCTTATGTCTTGACAGCAGAAGCAAGAACCTGAGGAACTGATCGTTCATGCAAAACCACCACCGCCCCCATCCCGGCGTCCACATGGTTTCCGAGCCTGGGAACCGCGCTGATAGGGCGGGACCCCGTCCCTCACTTCGCTCTCCTTTCCCGAACAGCTCGGGGGTCGGGTTCGGCCCCTCCTTCCTGCCGCTGTGTGTGTGTGTGTGTGTGTGTGTGTGTGAGAGAGAGAGAGAGAGAGAGAGAGAGAGAGAGAGAGAGAGAGAGAGAGAGAGAGAGAGATGAGGGCGGGAAGAGAAAGGGGAGGGATGAGACAGGAGACAACAGGAGCCTCAGACACAGGAACAGACCTAGGGCAGGGAGATAGGAGAGCTCCCCAGAGCTTGGGGTCAGAGCATAAACCTTCAAAACCCCCGCAAGTCCTGGGAACAAGGGAGCCTCCAGACAAGCTCAGAGGCTGCAAGTGTCGCCGCCTCCCCGAGAGTCGCCCCTCCTTAAGCCAAACCCACGTTGCCTACTTCTCAGGAATGAGGAGCTAAGGTTTAGCGCTCTGGGCCACCGACACCAGCTCATCCCCCTCGCGCAGAAGCCCCGCCAGCTCCCAGTGCTGCCCCACCCCCTACGGTTTTGGGATCTGCGGGACCCCTTCCTTTCCCCACCAGTTGGGTGTTCCGCCCCTGGCCTATGAAACTCCACCTACCCACCCTCTGTTGGCGAGGATTGGTGGACATCCCGCAGCGGTGCCTAGTGATTGGTCCCCATGGATGATGGTGAGCGACGAGACCCCGCCCCCAGCTGGCGCTGGGGTCTGGGGGTACTGCTCAGTGGTGCTAGGCTGGCGCGGCTTGAGCCGCCGCCGCACTGACAGCTCGGTCTGCGGACCATGGAGACCGGCGCTGGTGCACACCCTCTGCGCCTGTTCCTCTGCCGGATGCCGCTCTGTCTCGCGGTGCTTTTGGGACCCTGGCGGCCTGGGACCGCCGAGGAAGGTGAAAAGACTGGTGGACTCTGCTCGGAGCCTGGCATGCCAAAAGATAGGGGGGCTGGGGACGGGGATTTGGGGGGAAGGAGTCATTGGAGAGACTAGAGTCTGTAATGGGGCTAGAAGCAAGCAGGCAGCGAAGAACTGGAGAGACAGAAAAATGTGGCCAAGCAATAGCGAAGAGAGGGGCGTTGAGGAGCTTGGGGGCTGTAGACCCGGGAGGCAGGGGAAGAGACCAGGAACCGCGGGAGACAGAGGCGGCAGTCCAGGGGTGGGCGAGACGGACAAGCTGAGTGATTGGAGGTGGGAGGCGTGGGGGCGGGGAGATAAAGAGAGTAGAGACAGGGAGATGCGGAGATGAGCTCGGAGTATGGGAAAACGGGATGGAGCCCGGAACACAGAGGCTAGGAGACCACAGTGTGGCCAACCTAAGGCTGAAGGCTGGTCGAGGGGGCTGGGTCCGGGCGCTGCCCGACGTGCTGATCGTGGAACTGTCCGCAGTGCTGAATTCTGAGCGTAGTCTACCAGGGGCGCTCCGCGTTGCTGGCTTTGAGGCTGTCGGCGATACTAGAGCCCGCGTCTTGCCTCTGATTCTGCATTTGGGGAAGCTATACGTTCATTTGAATCCAGAGGCGTCATATCTAGGTGCAGAATCCGGAGAAGCTGGAATCTGAGGCGCTGACCGCGGGGTTGGTCGGGGCGCTGGATGGCTGACGCCTTCCAGTATGCAATTCCGAAGTGCCATCAGTTGTGCGGACCTCGGAAAGCCGTCGGCGGTCCTGCCCACGGTCGCTAACGCCTCTGGAGAGGCCCTCATCTTGGTAGGGCAGCCCCTGGCTTAAGCTCCAGAGGATAATATTCCAAGACTCAGGGATGTCCTGGCCTCCTGTCTCCGGTCTGCGGGCTTTGCTGCCCAAACCAGTTTCTGTGATCCGTGCTGAGAGGTTGCAGACTGCTGATCCGATGCCTCTTGGGGGAATAAAGGGACTCCAAGCTTCACTGGTAGGAAGGGTCATAGAGGTATACATAAAAGGACCTCTGACATTTTTTCAAAAGCAGTGGAAGTGACAGCCCCTGGGAAAAGGGCTGGCTGAGAAGAGATTTTATTTCTCCAGTTGTTGGCAGTATCTCTCCACATTGCTTTCTCAGAGGCCCTGGGAGTCAGACTAAAAATGTTAAATTCTTCATGCCTGAGTGGGAGTGGATTTGGGGGTATATACAGGAATCCCCTGATACATTCACTACCGACTTTCTCTTTCTCTAATTGACACTTAGCTATAATTTTGAAAACCTAAGAAGGTTAGGGAGGGTCACTGACTCCCACCCCCAGTCTGAGAGCCAACCTGAGAGTATTTGCCATGGACCCTGCAGAAGGCTGAATAGTGACTCCTTTTCCACAATATGTCAACGTCCTAGTCCCTAGAACCTGTGAATGTTACCTTAAGTGACAAAAAGACGTTGCATATGTGATTAATGATCTTTTGAGATGGATATATTATTTTAGATTATTTGGATGAGCCCAAAAATCACAATGGTCATTGTATGAGGGGTGCAGGAAGAGTCAGAGGAGGAGGAAGTATGGTGACCTAGGCAGAGATTAAAGTGATGTGATTTGAAGATGGAGGTGGGGACCATAAGCCAGGGACTACAGGCAGCCACTAGACGCTGAAGGTGGCAAGGACATGAATTCTCCCCTCAGAGCCTCCAAAACAAAACAGTCCTGCTGATACCTTGACTCTAGACCAGTGAAACTGGCTTTGGGCTTCTGACCTCCAGAACTGTAAGAGAAAAAAACTGTGTTGTTTTAAGCCACTAAATTTGTGGGAATGTGTCACAGCAGCCCCAGGAACTGAATACAAGCTCCTTCCCTAATCACTTGGCTACCTCTCTCTGGATTTGAGCTATTCATACCCCCTCCTGGGAATTTATGGAGTGGGAAAAACTTGTCCATATCATTCGTCACATTTGGCATTCCCTCAGCAAATTTACTGGGACTTCACCAAAGGATTCCACTCTCCTGATAAATTGACATTCTTGATTTCTGACATTTCTGTTCTCCCCTCTCCTTAGTCATCCTCCTGGATTCCAAAGCCTCCCAGGCTGAGCTGGGCTGGACTGCACTGCCTAGTAATGGGGTAAGTGTACAATGTCCCTCCCTGTCCCAGGGACCCTCTGGTGGTCCAGGACACAACCCCTTCAGCTCCCCATGTTTACATCGACCAAAGTGCTCCTCAAAGTGTGTGATATCCAGAAGCCCTGGCTTCAAGCCATGGCTTGAATATTAGAACATGTTGAGTCGTCAGCCAGTTAGACAGTCAAAAACAAAAACAAACAAACAAAAACCCCACAGTGAATAAATGAGGAGAGAACTGGCTGTCCAGGAACAGAAACCTGGCATCTGGATGAAGCTAATACAGGACAGTGCCTTTCACATAGCAGATCCTCCAAGCAATGTTGTTGATTGACAGAGCAAGCAAGACTGGGAGTTCTAAAAGAGGCTTGGGAACTTCGGGTGTGGGTGGGATGATCGGGTTGTAACAACAGCTTGGTGGAGCAGAAAGGGCACTGGTCAGAGAGTCAGGAGACTATATGCACCATTCCTAGCTCCACACTAGTTTGAGGCACATCTGGTCAAATCACTTTCCCTCTGGAGCCTCAGTTTCCCCATCTGTAAAAATAAGATTTGGACTCATTTGTTTTCAAAGTTCCTCCCAGTACTGCATCTTACAATTTCTGGGGTATGCATGGTGGTGAGAGAGAAGGCAGGAGTCACTGCTAGCACTCTACCTCCTGGAAGCATGCCGGCTCTGAGCTGCCCACCCCTTTACTCTTGTCTCCAGTGGGAAGAGATCAGCGGCGTGGATGAACACGACCGTCCCATCCGCACATACCAAGTGTGCAATGTGCTGGAGCCCAACCAGGACAATTGGCTGCAGACTGGTTGGATCAGCCGCGGCCGGGGGCAGCGCATCTTCGTGGAGCTGCAGTTCACACTCCGTGACTGCAGCAGCATCCCTGGCGCCGCAGGCACCTGCAAGGAGACCTTCAACGTCTACTACCTGGAAACGGAGGCCGACCTGGGGCGCGGGCGTCCCCGCCTAGGCGGCAGCCGGCCCCACAAAATAGACACGATCGCGGCGGACGAGAGCTTCACGCAGGGCGACCTGGGCGAGCGCAAGATGAAGCTGAACACAGAAGTGCGCGAGATCGGCCCGCTCAGCCGGAGGGGTTTCCACCTGGCCTTTCAGGACGTGGGCGCCTGCGTGGCGCTTGTCTCGGTGCGCGTCTACTACAAGCAGTGTCGTGCCACCGTGCGGGGGCTGGCCACGTTCCCAGCCACCGCAGCCGAGAGCGCCTTCTCCACACTGGTGGAAGTGGCCGGAACGTGTGTGGCGCACTCGGAAGGGGAGCCCGGCAGCCCCCCGCGCATGCACTGCGGCGCAGACGGCGAGTGGCTGGTGCCTGTGGGCCGCTGCAGCTGCAGCGCGGGATTCCAGGAGCGTGGTGACATCTGTGAAGGTATCCAGATGGCTGGGGGCTGTGGGGTGGGAGTGCAGAGCGTAAGTGACAATTGAAAGTGTACCCTAGATGAAAAAGGCGGGGCTGGGGGCGAGGGGGCTGGAGAAGCCTTGGGCTCTGAGCCCAAGGACAGTCCTGATGTTTTGTCTGGGAGTTTCTAGTTGGTCCAGTCAGGGCCAACGAGTGAAGTTACTATTACTAGGAGGTAACTTCACTGACTAGCTAAGGAGGCATTAGGGACCTGAATCTTAGGCACCTCACACAGGCCTTCTCATTTATTTTCATGGCAATGAAGGAAGCCATTCTTTTATTTTTATTTTAACTTTTTGATATAGAGTCTCTTGCTCTGTCACCCAGTTGGAGTGCACTGGCCCAATCTCCACTCACTGCAACGGCCACCTCCTGGGTTCCAGTGATTCTCCTGTCTCAGCCTCCCAAGTAGCTGGGATTACAGGTGCACACCACCATGCCCAGCAAATTTTTGTATTTTTAGTAGGCATGGGATTTCACCATGTTGGCCAGGCTGGTCTCAAACTCCTGACCTCAAGTGATCCACCTACTTTGGTCTCCCATATGCTGGGATTATAGGCATGAGCCACTGCACCTGGCCTAAAGGGAGTCATTCTTTTTTTTGAGAGGGAGTCTCGCTCTGTCACCAGGCTGGAGTGCAGTGGTGCGACCTCGGCTCACTGCAACCTCCACCTCCTGAGTTCAAGTGATTCTCCTGCCTCAGCCTCCTGAGTAGCTGAGACTATAGGTGTGCCCCACCACACCCAGCTAATTTTTGTATTTTTAGTAGGGATGGGGTTTCACCATGTTGGCCACGATGGTCTTGACATCTTGACTTCGTGATCCACCCGGCTCAGCCTCCCAAAGTGCTGGGATTACAGGTGTGAGCCACCGCGCCTGGCCTGAAGGGAGTCATCCTTATTCCTGTTTCACAGAGGAAGAAATAGAGCCTCGGAGAGATTAGTACCTCACTTACAAAGTTAGGAAATAGGGAGCTAGGATCAGAATTCAGGCTTGCCCAACTCTCTCATTCTTTCTACGACACGATGTGGTCTCCCCTGTGCCCAAGGAAGAACTCTACAGCAGCCCAAGCTTTAGGCTACTGGGACTGGTTGCATTACAGGGAGGAAGCTCCCAGTCACTGACCACATGTTTGCAAGTCAGAGGCTGGCAGGGGGGACGTTTATGCTCGAGAAAGGGATTGAGAAGTTGCACCAGATGCTTACTAAGATCACATCCCACTCTATGAACTACAATCACTATGCTCCCTGGGGGAGATCCTTCATGTTGGAGGTTTTGCTGGGTTCTCAGGCTGGTGAGGGCATCAGGAACAGACCTCTCATTCCCTCTCCTGCCTGTGGCTTTGGAGACAGAGGGTGAGGATGGGGTTATGAATATGTGCACTTAATATAGAAAGATCAAGGTATTCTTCTTCTAAACCATGTCCTTTTCTGGGTGCCAGGGCAACAGAAATGAGTCAGACATAGTCCCAGCTCTCAAGAAGCTCACAGTCTAGATGGAGAGATACAAAAATTTAAAAACTGCAAGAGGGTAATATATGCTATAACAGAGAGATACACGGAGTGGTGGGAAGACAGAGGAGGAAGTGACTCAGTTTGCTCTCATTCCTTTGTTCAATCATCCATCCAATATGAATTGAGGATGTGCCAGCTGCATTTATCGAGGGCTTGTTATATGTATACAGATGAATGCCACCATCTCTTCCCTGCAGAAATTGTAATTTAGGGAAAGACTGGGAGGCATGAACCTTCGTGAGCTCTCTAGATATAGTTAGGATCCACCTCTGTGCTCTCCAGCACTCATTGAAAACTCTGTTTCTGTCTTACCCTATGGTATGCAGTGAACTACTCACGTGTGTTTTCACCACTAGATTAAGAACTTAATTTTTTTAGAGATGGGGGTCCGTGTTGCCTGGGCTTGATTGTAGCAGTTATTCATAGGCACGATCATAGGGTATCACAGCCTTGAGCTCCTGGGTTCAGGCATTCCTTCTGCCTCAGCCTCCTGAGTCAGTGAGACCACAGGGATCACACCCAGATTAGGAACTTCTGGAGCTCAGGCACTGGGTCGTATTAGTGTCAGCAGCCCCAGCATCCATAACAGGATAAGGCATATGGTAGGTGTTCAGTGAAAATGCATTGGGTAAACAAGTGGTTACCATAGGGTGTGACGCACAACCAGGCAGCTAAGGAAGCATGGAAGGAAGAACCTTGCTGGGTTCTGGGAAGCATGGAGAAGGCATCCCAGAGAAGGTGAGGGGATCTTTTTTCTGAGGCAGTTTAGAGCACTCTAAGCTCAGGAATTGCATGCAGAATCATGGAGGCAGGAAGGAACATAGCATGGTTGGGCCTATATAACTAAATGTGGTTAGAGCAGAGGGCATGTGGGGGTGTGGGAAGTTAAGTAATGGCACTGGAGAGAAGCAGGGCCTTGAATGTTGGGATAAAGAGCTTAGGCCAATGGGGAAGATTTGAAGCAGGGATCTGACATGCTCAGATTTGTAGTTTCAAAAGATCACTCAAGCTACAGCTGCAAAAAAGGGATTGAAGAAGGAAGGATTAGGAGCCAGAAGATGAAGAAGGAAGATGGTTCACTAGTGCAGGAGAAAGACCACAAGGTCTGAATTAAGGTAGTAGCAGAGATCACTGAGAGATGAGGATCATGAGTTAGCATTCACAGCACTTAGTGACCATGTGATACAGGAGGAGAAAGGAGTCCCCTTTGACTTATATGCTACTGGGGATTGAATGGACAGAGGGATCATTCACTAGGGTACAGAACACAGGACATCATAAATATGATGTCCCTGGCACATTCCAGAGGAAGGGGTTAGAAAGGGGTCTGGAGCTCAGCCAGACAGAGATAGTACTTGAAGCTGTGGGTGTGATTGGGACAGACCAGAGAGAACGCGTGGGGGAAGAAGCCAAGAGGGCCAACAATGAAGACTCATAGAAGAGCAATACTCAAGGACAAGTAGAAAATATAGAGCCCATTAAAAAGGCTGAGAGGGAGTGGGCAGGGTATGGAGAAAAACTAGGAGAGTGTGATATTGTGAGAGCTTAGAGAGATAGGGGTGTCCAGGAAGGAATGGCCTACAGAGTTGGGAAGCAGTCAGGTAAGTCGAGGGTTAACAAGTGCCCACTTGGTGGCCTTGGTGAGAGCAATTGCAGCTGAGTGATGGGTAGAGAGACCAGGTTGCAGTAGACTGAGGGATAAAGAAAGTCGAAGAGCTGGAGTCAGTGAATCTAGAAGCCTGGATTTGAATTAGGAGAAGAGGCAGTATCTCGAGGAGGACATTGGGTTGAGAGAGGATTTTTATTGTAGATGGGAGAGATTTGTTTGTATGCTGAAGGGCAAAGAGTCACTGGAGTACCAAGTGTGTATGTGGGGGGATCCCCATCCCAGTCCCAGGAGGCAGGAGTATTTTATTATTGATGTGAGCTAGAATTGCTGATACCTGTTGCTAACAAAAAGCGGGCCGCATTTTGGTCAGTTCTATTATTGTTTTTATATACTCTATAGTTTGTGCCCTTATTGCCTGCACCCAAAATGGGCTGCTTTTTACTGTTTCACTACCAAGAGGGGAGACAGCTGATGGAATGTAGTCTTTGATGAGGTTAAAGGGAGAGATCCAGGGTGGAGATAGAAGGGCTGGCCTTCAACAGGAGGTGGCTCATTCCCTCCTCTAGGACTGGAAAGAAGGAAGAGAGGGGAGATGGTTGCAGATGGGGGCATTTGTGTGTTTTGATGGGCAGATGTTGAGGGAATTACTAACTGATGGCTTCTCTTCTCCCTATAAGGTGGGAGGGAGAGCATCTGTAGAATGGACAGTAAGGTCCTTGTCTGTTTTATTCATTGCTGGATATCTATAGAGCCTACGTAACAGATGCTAAAAAATATTTGCTGAATGAATGGATTAGGAGTGAGAGGAGGAGGTTTCTCTGAGAAATGAGGGAGAAGGAGAGAGAGAGAGAGACTAAAAAACCCAATCCATATCTGATGAGACCAGAAAAAGGCCACTTGTAATGGCTTCAGCTTTGCCTTGGGGAGTTGGGAGCTGTGGACAATGCCAAGGAAAGCTTCACAGGGGAGATGTTATTTGAACTGGGGTTTGGAGAAGTATAGAAGTTTGCCAGGAGAAAAGGGATATAAGGAGTTATAGAACAAGACCTAGAGGCGAAAGGATGTGCTCAGTGTAGCACAGTAGAGTGGCTGGCAGTGGGGAGCTGTTGGAGGATATTAGGAAGGGAGGGAAATCGTTGGATTTGAAAGGCCTTCCAAGTGCCTTCTGCAGCTAACAGACTCCCCTCTACAAGTCAATAGATAAGAGGGGAATAGAGCTAAGATGTTCTTTTCTCCTTTTTGTTTCTCTTTAGTGACCTTGACTTTTGTTTTCTCTCTTAGTCACTAGAGAAATTAGTGAAAGAACTGGGATTTCCTTTGGGGGGAAAAATCAGGGCTGTTAATCAGTATCTTTAATTCTCCACTAGGGCCAGGTGCAGTGGCTCACACCTGTAATCCCAGCAATTTGGGAGGCCAACGCAGGATGATCGCTTGAGCCAAGAGTTCAAGATCAGCCTGGGCAACATAGGGGGACTCCATGTCTACACACACAAAAATTAACCAGGCCTGGTGGCACAGCATGCCTGTGGTCCCAGCAACTTGGTAGGGCTGAGATGGGAGGATTGCTTGGCCCCAGGAGGTGGAGGCTGTAGTGAGCTATGATTGTGCCACTGCACTCCAGCCTGGGCAACAGGGCAAGACTGTGTCACAAACAAACAAACAGAAAACAACTCAGTGGGACTGCCTTGGAGCCAAGGGACCCAAGCAGATATGTTCCCTGAGGGTCCATAGGGCACAATGAGCCCCTGTGATGGGGTGGCACAAGGGGGTGGTGTGATGTGGGCTTGGGTTGGATTACTGACAGAGAAGCTAATGAGGGCTCATCCTAAGGAGCACTTTCTGCCAGTGTTGTTCAACAAAGGCAGTCTCACAAGCCGGTGAATACCTCATGATGAAGTATGTGACAAAGACTGTGGCTACTGCTAGGGAAGCTGCTGGAGGACCAGGCCAGTGGGAGCTGAGCCAGATTAGCTCTGAAGTTCTGACCTTGAAGAGAGGGAGGGGCTGGCGGTCAGGAATCCCTGAATCTGCTCTTCAGCACAAACCCCTTCTAAACAGCCTTTTACAGCAGAGATGCCACTGCTGTCCCTGATGGGCCCACCCACCTCTAGGACAGCTGCCACCCTCATACACTTGTGGGGAGGGAGCCTCCAGCATTCTTCCCCTATTGCTGTGAAACCCTGTGAACAGATCCTTTATCTGGGCCCTCACTCGCTCTCCTATTTCACAACAGAGGTGGGCAGGCCATGATTGTTATTCCTACTTGACCAGTGGTTTCTTGAGGCCAGAGAGGATGCTAGATCCCAAGCCTGCCAAGTTCCAGCCTGGCTTTCTGCTGCCCACTGGACCATGGGGATAGTTGGCCCATGCTTTGTTCTGCCGGCAGAGAAGCTTCCAAAAGCTCCTGGGCTGCTGAGCCCCTCCCACAGAGTTGTGTTGCCCAGAACTCTGGGCAAGATGGACCCTCCCAAGCCTAAACCTTCCAAACAGTGGAAATCCTAGTCCTCTCCCCTCTTCTCCCACACAGGCTGAAAGTTCTTCCCCAAGAGCTAGCCTGCACCCTTTCTGTTGTACTGCATCTTCTTGGAGCTGGAAAGCAGCCAGCTAAACTAGAGGGGAGGGCCAGAGAACAAGGGGAGGACCACCCAAGCTGTGAGATGTGGGGCCAGGAGCCCCTGTCTCCCTCCTTGGCCCAGGTGAAGAGAAATTTTTTGAAGTGAGTGTTTAGCAGTTACCTTAGGCTTGTAGGGGAGGAACAGCAATTACTACCATTATTGTGAAAATGTGGTTGGTGCTGGGCTAGGTGGTTTACATGTTTTATCTCAATCCTCCAACAACCTTTTTTGAGGTAGGTATTCAACACAAGGCTCAGAGAGGTCAACTGATGTGCTCAAGGCTACACAGCAAATACGTGGTGTGACTCAGCTACAAACCCAGGTTGTTCAGATAGGCACACTTGTGCTCTTAACAACCTGTGTTCTGAGAAGTGAGAAGCAAACTGAGTAGGTGTCAAGACTGGAACCAGGTCTGACTCATGGCCCAGGGAACTTTTACTGGCCCTTCTCTCTCCACCCACCCTCCCCGCACCTGGTTGGCTTTACTTTCAGTTGAGAATTTATGATGCACAAACTCAAATGATGGTGGTGGTGGGAGGGTGTGTGTGTGTGTGTGTGTGTGCGTGCATGCTTGTGTGTCTGTCCCTGGATAATCCCTTGGGACATCTCTCCTCCCCTCTCTTTCTCACACCAGGACTGCAGAGTTTGGCTCATTTTCTTCCAGTGGGCATGAGGGTGGTGTGATGCGGACTTGGGTTGGAATCCCACAGGCTGTGGGGCAGTAGCTGCAGGCAACTTCACCTCTCCTAGCCTTAGCTCCTTCGTTTTAAAAAGGGGATAAAGGGCCAGGCACAGTGGCTCACGCCTGTAATTTCAACACTTTGGGAGGCAGAGGTGGGGGGCAGGGCAGATCACTTGAGGCCAGGAGTTCAAGACCAGCCTGGCCAGCATGATGAAGCTCCATCTCTATTAAAAATACAAAAAAAAAAAAAAAAAAAAAAAAAAAAAAAAAAGGCAACCAGGCATGGAGGTCCAGGCTTGTAATCCCAGCTACCTGGGAGGCTGAGGCAGGAGAATCACATAAACCTGGGAGGTAGAGGTTGCAGTGAGCTGAGATCTGGCCACTGCACTCCAGCCTGGGCAACAGAAGGAGACTCTCTCAAAAACAAAAACAAAAATGAAAAGTAAAAAGAGGATAACCTCACAGGTGGTTGTAAGGATATGAATTAACAGGCGTAATTTTTTAAAAATAAATACAGACAGGGTTTCACCATGTTGCCCAGGCTGGTCTCCAGCACCTGGACTCTAGTGATCTCTGGCTTTGGCCTTCCAAAGCGTTGGGATTATAGGCGTGAGCTATTGCATCCGGCTGAAAGTAAAATGTTTTAAAGTTATCTGAACACACTGAACGTTTACTAAGGGTTGGTAATGGGTTGTTTAGGAGTCACTCACGGGGCAGTGCTGACTGGAGTCCGCTGTTTTCCTACCGTAATTGGAGGAGATAAACCCTGCCCTAACCAGGCCAGTCAGCAAAGCGGGAAGAAGCTGTGGCGGAGCCTTGGCTTCTCACCCGCCATGCCCTGCAGCCTGTCCCCCAGGGTTTTACAAAGTGTCCCCGCGGCGGCCCCTCTGCTCACCGTGCCCAGAGCACAGCCGGGCCCTGGAAAACGCCTCCACCTTCTGCGTGTGCCAGGACAGCTACGCGCGCTCGCCCACCGACCCGCCCTCGGCTTCCTGCACCCGTGAGTCCCCCTCTAGGCGGCACTGCAGAGGGTGGCGGGGTGGGGGAGGACAAGGAAGGCCTAATCCGGGTGGTGGTGAGAGCGGGGGCTCCGCACTGGGGCGCACGACGGCGGATACGGGGGCCAGCGCCCCAGAAGGCGGGATGTGGGGACCGGAGCCTGGGCGGGCGCTGGAGGCCGGGGCCTTAGATGAGAAGAACCAGGACAACTGCGAGAGTCCAGATGGAGGATGGGGTTAGGATGCTTGGCGGGTCACTGAGGAGAGCGCCCCTCCGCTGTCCTCTCTGCACCCTGCCTACCCTCCAGCCGAAAGGGGGGCTCCCGACCTTCGCACCATCGGTTCTTGGTCCACACACTCACATCCTCGGTTCCTCACTTAACTCCTCCCAAATCCTCACCAACTGCCCTGCCGCTCTCACCTGCCGACCTACCAAGGGCTCTCACACCTGGGTCCCTGACCCTTCCCTGGGGGAGAGACAAACCCCTGCTCCCGCTCGCCCGGGGCTCATTCGTCCTTGACCCCTCACTGACCATCTCTGTTCCAACCTCCTCGACTGAACCCACGCCCCCATCCCTCCCACCCCAGACCCCTCTCCCCTGTCCTATCCCCCACGCCCACTGGCTCCCACGGCGCCATTTCCACTCAACCAACCCTGTCCCTTCCCTGACCGTCCCTTCTGCCCTCCTCCCTGACTGACCCCACGCCCCTGTCCCTCCCGTCCCCCTCAACCACCCAGTCCCCTGATGAGCGGCCCGCTCCCTCCTCCCCGATTGACCCTCGCGCTCCAGCTTCTCCCGCCTCACTGGGAGGTGGACCAGCCCCCGCCTGCCCCGTGCATCCCGCCCCCCTCGCCGGCCCCCATGCCCAGCCCTGACCGTCCCGCCCCTGTGCCGCCCCAGGGCCGCCGTCGGCGCCGCGGGACCTGCAGTACAGCCTGAGCCGCTCCCCGCTGGCGCTGAGGCTGCGCTGGCTGCCGCCGGCCGACTCAGGCGGCCGCTCGGACGTCACCTACTCGCTGCTGTGCCTGCGCTGCGGCCGCGAGGGCCCGGCGGGCGCGTGCGAGCCGTGCGGGCCGCGCGTGGCCTTCGTGCCGCGCCAGGCCGGGCTGCGGGAGCGCGCCGCCACGCTGCTGCACCTGCGGCCCGGCGCGCGCTACACCGTGCGCGTGGCCGCTCTCAACGGCGTCTCGGGTCCAGCGGCCGCCGCGGGAGCCACCTACGCGCAGGTCACCGTCTCCACCGGGCCCGGGGGTAAGGCCGCCTGCCCCCCCACCCGCGTCCCCCGCCCCGAAGCCCCCGCGCCTGCCACCCCCATGCCTGCCCGCGGCCGCCCCGTCGGTCCAGCAGGAACCCCACCCACCCTCCCCAGAGAAGCCACACTCTGTGCACGCACCCCGCCCCTCTCCGGGACACAAAATCACCCCCGGACTCTCCAGTGCCAGTCGCCCTCCCGAGTCTGCAAGAGAAACTAAGAATGCAGGCGTCCCCTTGCTACCAGGCCAGAGGGGAGGCGCGCGGTTCTGTGCGTCTGCGGGAAGCCGCTGGGTGCTCGCCTTTCTCCTGAGCGCCTGCACAGCCTCTGTCCCGCTCACAGCTCTGCAGTTGGCCTTGCCTCTGACTTCTCAGGGAAAAAGAGGTGGAAAGTCCCTTAATCTCTTACCTTACCTTTAAAAAAATGTCAGTAGGAAGCCGAATTTACTTCCTTCCCTCTGTCTGGGGAATCGGGGTCCGGTCGTGTGTCCCTTGCCTCCATCCCTCGGCCTCTGCATGGTTTTGGTGCATTGGCCACCCCTTTCCTGGCCCCGGGAAATGGCAAGGAAGCTTGTAGAGTTAGGCCGTAAGGGCGATGGAACGCACCAGCCAACACATCGCTGAGTCTGGACGTGAGATGAGTAAGTGAAGACCTACAGCCTTTTCCCACCACACCTTCACTCCTGACAGTTTCTTTTGATTGGCTTCTCCGCTAGGGGGGACCTTCAAGTAATGCTTGTGTTCTTTGCAAGAAAGATAAGCTAGTGGTATGGTTTCTGACTCTCTTCCTAATCGAGGCGATAGGATTGGTCTGTAACCCTGCTTCCCTGCCTTCTGTGATTCTGCTTCTGTCTTCTGGCAGTTCTGTTGTCGAGAAGTCTGAGGCTAGGGTTATTTTCATTCTTTTCTACCTAACTTGGACATATGACATATATATGTATACACACGGATGTTAGAATAATTCTTTAACCTACTTAATCTGTTGAAAATAAACTTTTTTTAAAATGGAGTTTTGCTCTTGTCACTCAGGCTGGAGTGTGGTGGTGGTATCACAGCTCGTGGCAACCTCTGTCTTATGGGTTCAAGCGATTTTCCCACCTCAGCCTCCTGAGTAGCTGTGATTACAGGTGGGCACCGCCACACCCAGCTAATTTTTGTATTTTTAGTAGAGATGGGGTTTCACCATGTTGGCCAGGCCGGTGTTGAACTCCTGACCTCAAGTGATCTGCCTGCCTCGGCCTCCCAAAGTGCTGGGATTACAGGCGTGAACCACCATGCGCCCAGCCAAAAATAATCATTTGACCAATATGGATTTCTTTTGATTGAGTAAAGCTTTTGATTTGCACAACTTTTTTTTTTTTTTTCCCCTGGAAAAGTTTTCTTCAGGCCAGGCACAGTGGTACAGGCCTGTAGTCCCAGCATTTTGGAAGCCTGAGGCCAGGAGCAACATAGTGAGACCCTGTCTCTACAAAAATTTTTTTAAATTAGCCAGACATGGTGGTGTGTGCCTATAGTCCCTGCTGCTCAGGAGGCTGAAGTGGGAGGATCACTTGCGCCCAGGAGTTTGAGGCTGCAGTGAGCGATGACTGTGCCACTGCACTCCAGCCTGGGCGACAGAGCCAGACCATGTCTCTTAAAAAAGTTTTCTTTAGCTACTGCTTTGACTAGAACTTCCGATAGCTCAAACATATCTCTTATTTAAAATATCTGTAAGCCTTAGGTTGTACATTCATTTTCTGATTCTCAAATCGTGTCACTTGACTTCCTTGATCATTTTGAGCTCTTAATCCATTTCCACTGCCTTTTGGAGGTTTCCCAACTCGTCTGGGTTTCTGGAACAGTACTGTTTTTTACTGTCTCTATTGTGATTTAACATTTGCTATTGCATTTACATTTTTAAAAATTCCTTTCTGATCTTTCTTTCATGTTAGATGGGTCTTGTGCCGATGTCGTGAAAAGGTTCAATGATGACACACCTCACACGAGTGTGAATTCCCAATCACACCCACAAACTACGAAAGGATCACATTTTTTAAAATTCAGTATAGAAAAAGGAAAAAGCTATAATCTTATTATGTAGACATAAACCACTATTAATATCTTAGAGTATATACTTCCAGAAATGTTTCCATCTTTATCTTGGTATTCATATTTTAATTATCTACCCATAAAACCCCTTTTGTTTTTTTAATATTTAAATTATTTTGTATTTTCTTTTTTTAAATTTTAGGTGTATTCTATATCCAGCATTTCTCCCCATGTTATCCCTCCCCACCCTCCCCACCCCCCACCATCCAGCGCCTACCCCTCAACTGCCCCCAGCATGTGACGCTTCTCTCCCTGAATCCATGTGTTCTCATTGTTCAACACCCTCCTATGAGTGAGAACATGCGGTGTTTGGTTTTCTGTTCTTGTGTCAGTTTGCTGAGAATGATGGTTTCCACATTCATCCAAGTCCTTACAAAGGACACAAACTCATTGTTTTTTATGGCTGCATAATATTCCATGGTGTATATGTACCACATTTTCTTTGTCCGGTCTATCATGGATGGGCATTTGGGTTGGTTCCAGGACTTTGCTATTGTATACAGGGCTGCAGTGAACATACGTGTGCATGTGTCGTTATAGTAGAATGATGTATAGTTCTTTGGGTATATACCCAGTAATGGGATTGCTGGAAAACCTCTTTTGTTTTAATATGATATTTTGGTCAACAATGGATGGCATATGATGGTGGTTCCATAAGATTATAATGGAGCTGAAAGACTCCTGTCATGTAGTGCTTTCTGTTACAACTGCCCGCAGTATTCAGTACAGTCACAGGCTGTTACCCAGGCTGTACAGGTTGTAGCCTAGAAGTGTGATAGGCTATACCATCTAGGTTTGTGTAAGTATACTTTGATGTTTCTATAGCAATGAAATCGCCTAACAACGCATTTCTCAGAACATCTTCCCATCATTTGGCAATCCATGATGGTATATGTAATACTTTTATCTGACATTTTATGTTAACAATCTTAACTGTTTTGACACAGATGGATTTAAAAGCCCTGTTAAGGAAATAATCTTCTATTTCCACTTTCTACATAAAAATACTAGGCGCGGTGGCTCACGCCTATAATCCCAGCACTTTGGGAGGCCAAGGCGGGTGGATCATGAGGTCAAGAGATGGAGACCATCCTGGTCGACAAGGTGAAACCCTGTCTCTACTAAAAACACAAAAAATTAGCTGGGCATGGTGGTGCATGCCTGTAATCCCAGCTACTCAGGAGGCTGAGGCAGGAGAATTGCCTGAACCCAGAAGGCGGAGGTTGCGGTGAGCCGAGATCATGCCATTGCACTCCAGCCTGGGTAACAACAGCGAAACCCTGTCTCAAAAAAAAAAAAAGAAAAATACTAAGCTTCTACTGATCGAGGGCCACTGTATTTGGCACTGTGCAATATGATTTTCTACATTAAGTCATTGAAATGGTGCTGGGTGCTGTGGCTCACGCCTGTAATCTCAGTACTTTGGGAGACTGAGGCAGGCAGATCATTTGAGATCAGGAGTTCGATGAGGTTTCAGCTTGGCCAACAAGGTGAAACCCCACCTCTAGTAAAAAAAAAAAAAAAAAAAAAAAAAAAAAAGCCAGGTGTGGTGGCACACGCCTGTAATCCCAGCTACTGGGGAAGCTGAGGCAGGAGAATCGCTTGAACCCCAGAAGTGGAAGTTGCAGTGAGCCAAGATTGTGCCACTGCACTCCAGCTTGGGTGACAGAGTGAGACTCCACCTCAAAAAAAAAAAAAAAAAATTAAATAAAACTCAGATTGGTTTTGAAACCCAGGTCTGTGTGCCCTCAAAGCCCTGAGCCTTTAACCCCTAGGCCATATAATGCTTCTGCTTTTTACTGAACTTTTTCTAAAAATCAGAAATGGATGTTAATTTCATAAAATGCTTCTTAAGCATTTTCAAGATGACCACATTTTTCCCCCTTTGACCTGTCAGTATGATGAATGCTATTAATGGATTTTTCAATCTGAACTCTCTGCACTCCTGAATTATACCCTACTGGATACGAGTATATTATTCTTTTGATATTTTGCTGAGTTCATTGGCTTATATTTTAACGTTTTTTTCTATCTACATTTCTTTTTTTAAAAAAAGTTTTTATACAAAGATCTCTTGGCATGGAACCATCTGCATTTCTAAGAGAGATTAGTGTTTTGTAATGTGTTCTTTGTCAAGTTTTGGCACTATGGTGATGCTGGCTTTAGTAAAGCCATCAGGAAAAATATCTTCTTTTTCCCTGCTCTGGGGTATTTTAGTAGCAAATTTATATATTCCTTGAAGGCATGAAAAACTGCCTGGGAAACTTTCTGGGATCTATGCCATTTTTGGGGAGAAAGTTTGATATTTTATTTATTTATATAGTTAGTTAGTTTTTGAGATGGAGTTTTGCTCTTGTTGCTGAGGCTGGAGTGCAATGGCGCAATCTTGACCCACTGAAATCTCTGCCTCTAGGGTCCAGGTGATTCTCTTGCCTCAGCCTCTCGAAAAGCTGGGATTGCAGGCATTCGCCACCACCCTTGGCCTATTTTGTGTTTTTAGTAGAAATGGAGTCTCTCCATGTTGGTCAGGCTGGCCTCGAACTCCTGATCTCAGGTGATCTGCCCACCTCTACATCCCAAAATGCTGTGATTACAGGCGTGAGCTACCATGCCCAGCCAGATATTTTTATTTTATTTTATTTTTGAGACGGAGTTTCACTCTTGTTACCCAGGCTGGAGTGCAATGGCACGATCACGGCTCACCGCCACCTCCACCTCCTGGGTTCAGGCAATTCTCCTGCCTCAGCCTCCTGAGTAGCTGGGATTACAGGCACGCCTCACCGTGCCCAGCTAATTTTTTGTATTTTTAGTAGAGACGGGGTTTCACCATGTTGACCAGGATGGTCTCAATCTCTTGACCTCGTGATCCACCTGCCTCGGCCTCCCAAAGTGCTGGGATTACAGGCTTGAGCCACCGTGCCTGGCATATTTTTATTTTATTTTTCATTTATTTTTTGAGATGGAGTTTTGCTCTTGTTGCCCAGGCTGGAGTGCAATGGCACAATCTTGGCTCACTGCAACCTCCACCTCCCAGGTTCAAGTGATTCTCCTGCCTCAGCCTCCCAAGTAGCTGGGATTACAGACACGTGCCACCATGCCTGGCTAATTTTTATATTTTTAGTAGAGACAGGATTTCACCATGTTGGTCAGGCTAGTCTCAAACTTCTGACCTCAGGTGATCTGACTGCCTCAGCCTCTCAAAGTGCTGGGATTACAGGCATGAGCCACCAGCCCCAGCCAAGGTTGATATTTTAAATCTTTACTGTAACTTCTTCTTGATCAGTTTTATAAATTTGTGCTTTCCTAGAAAATGTTTTGGTGTTCTTTTTCTAATTTATTATTAGAAATGTATATACATTTCCTGAGTACCTGGAGTTTACTTTCTCTTTCTTCCTGTTGTATGCTTGTAATCTCTCTCTTTTTTTCTTAATTATCCTTGCCAGAAGTTTATTTTATTGGTTATGACACAGAGTCAGCTCTTGAACCTATCAATTCCGTTGCTCTTTTGTCTCTTATTTTATGATTTTTTTTTTTTTTGAGAGGGAGTCTCACTCCGTAGCCCAGGCTGGAGTGCAGTGGTGTGATATCATCTCACTGCAACCTTGCCTCCCAGGTTCTAGTGATTCTGCTGCCTCAGCCTCCCAAGTAGCTGGGGTTATAGGTGCACGCCACCACACCCAGCTGTATTTTATGATTTTTATCTTTATTAATACGACTCTCCTGCTTTCCTGATATATATATTTTTTGAGACAGGGTTTCACTCTCTATCACCCAGGCTGGAATGCAGTGACATGATCTTGGCTCACTGTAACTTCTGCCTCCTGAGTTCCAGCGATTCTCCTGCTTCAACCTCCCAAGTAGCTGGGATTATAGACGTGCACCACCATGCCTGGCTAATGCTGCATTTTTTATAGAGATGGGGTCTCACTATGTTGCTCAAACTGGTCTTGAACTCCTGACTCAAGCAATCCTCCTGCCTTGGCCTCCCAAAGTGTTGGGATTACAGATGTGAGCTACCATGCCCAACCTCAGAAGTGTTTTTCTAGGCAAGTTCAGTGCTTAGTTATTTTTCATTTTAATTTTTAAAGCTATGAGTTTTCCTCTGAGTATTGTCATTTCCAATCCATTTGATACATGATATTATCACATTGTTAGTAATATGGGTTTTTAAAGGTATAGTTCATGTAACATAAATTTCCCCCTTTTGAAGCATCACTTCAGGGATTTTTCATATATTCACATGGTTGTGCAACAAGCGCGATCTGATTCTAAAACATTTCACTACCCTGAAAGGAAGCTCATTAGTCACTCACATTCCATCTACCTCCTCTAAGCCTTGGTAACAACCGGTCTTTCTGTTTCTATGGATTTGCCTATTCTAGTCATCTCAATACATGGAATTATGCAATATATGAGCTTTCAAGTCTGGCTTCTCTCCCTTAGCATAATGGTTTCAAGGTTCACCCATGTTGTAGCATGTATCAGTACTGCATTCCTTTTTATGGCTGAGTAACATTCCATTGCATGGATAGACCACAGTTTTGCTTATCCATTCATCAGTTGATGGACTTGGGCTGTTTCTACATTTTGGCTATTATGAATAATACTATTGTGAATATTCATATATATATATGTTTTTGTGTAAATGTATATTTTCAGTTCTCATGGCTATATACCTAGGAGTGGAATTGCTAAGTCATATAGTTATGGACTGAATTATGTTACTTCCAGTTTCATGTGTTGAAACCCTAAACCCCAATGTGACTATGTTTGGAGATAGTTCCTTTAAGGAGGTAATTAAGGTTAAATGAGATATAAGGGTGGGCCCTAATCCATTAGGACTGGTATCTCTATAAGAAAAGGGAGAGACACCGCAGCACACTCACTCTGTGTCCATATGTGCACAGAAGAAAGGCCACGTGAGAACACAGTGGGA